TTCCCATATGTTTTTCAGCTTTGTTAAATAAAATTTCAGTCGTTTAAATAAAGTCATCTGATTGAGCAATAATAATGTTACTATATGCTTTATATACTCAGCCACAATGCCAATTCGGATCTCTTGCAGTATAGGTGAGACTATTAATAAAATGTATAATTAATCAATGATTTAGAATAGGTATCACCTATATTGTACTAACTCTAGATATTTGCTTAAAATTATAATCATTATTATTAAGCAAAAAAACTTGAAAAAAATCGTTAGATTTAATTGTTTTTTATGTATAATTAAGGTATCGATCAAGTTCTACAACTTGTATTAATTCCAATAATCCGTCAATTTCTTTATCCAGAACTTTAGTAATAGCCTTATTCGTGATAATTAAATAATCATTCATAAGTGTCTTTAAAGATTATTGATATGGTCAATTTTAGGTAAGTTAAGCATAAAAAGATATTATCATATAAATAAGTGTATTCGGATTTTAATTAAAAAATAAGTAAGATTTGTACATTACATATTTGATAATAAATACGTCATCATATTTTATTTCAAGATAAGAAACCCCTTATTGAATGAAATTAGGATAAAATCAAATTAATAAGATTTCGAGTACATACTTTAATTATACTTCGATAATTTTACTGTTAAAAATTTTTAGTTACCGGCAATTTTTTAATAAGTGAGTTAAATTATTGAACTAAGCTATATGCAAAACGTTGAGTATGACTATTTGAATACTTTCAACAATTAATTAACATATTTAAACCATATTTAATTATTTATACTCAAAAATTGCGATATATATATATATTTTTTTTGAATGGTACGTAAAAAAAAAAAAAAAAAAAACATTTACAGAAAATAATAAACTTTTTAAAAGATAAAAAATTTAAGCCAATCTAATGAACAATAATCTTTGATTTATCTTTTTCTGCCCAACTTGCTGAAACTACTTCAGCCAGCTTTTCGACACCTTCTAAATTCATCAAATCACCTCTACTAACAATCTTCCTTTTATTTAAACCACGTATTATTTCTTTACTCTGAATCAATTCTATTCTGACTAGTTCTGCAATTCTAAGAGCACTTTCTACCTCTCTACGAGCCTCGAAAGTGACCAGAAATCCACGTTTAAAAATTGTTAAACTATTTAAAATATTCTCCCATTTATAAATTTTGCGACCTGTTGGTTTTATTAATTCAAAATAGGTTTCAATATCAGGAAAGGAATTTATACCATAATTAGTTCCATTCCAAATTTTTTCTTCTTCATCAATTGCTACAAGAATAGCTTTAAATTGATCACGAAATTCAGTTATTTGAAATAAAAGTTTATTAATTCTATTTGATAAGAATGTAATATTTCTTCTAGATAAAATCGTATCCAATACTAAGGTTTCTCTAATTGAAGTAATTTCATTACCAATTCGACCAATTAAATATTCTCCAGTACTGAATAATCTTTCTGCTTTTTTTCCTGTTTGATATGCACTTTCAGCGAGATCTTTTAAATATTGAACTATCATTTGATTTTCTGTTTGTGATGCTCGTCCAACTTTATCAGCGACATTAGCAATGAATAGACCTGTTGGACGTTGGTCAATAATTTGTGCTGAAGCTAAATAATAATTGTATAGGGTATGATATATATAAGTACATAATTATGCGTTGCATATTTTGTTCATAAATCCTTACGTGGTATATTGACAGTAGAAATAATTTTTAAAAAGATTATCGTCGTATTAGCAAGATCACGGAATATTGGCTCATCCACTGGTATTGAAAGAGGAACCTAAAATTAAAAAGATTTCATGAATATGCATATAATACGAATATATTATCAAAATTTATGAAATAAATTTTGCTTACATATAGTGCCTCAAAATAATCAATAATTGAGCTTACGAAAAGTTGTATCTATAATGAATGAATGCGTGAGTTAATGTGTGAGTAAATGTGTGAATGAAATGAAATAAAATCATAATTTTATGTGATTAAAAGAATAGATTAATTGACTCACATCGGCCCATGGTTGTAAATATTCAATAATTGAGTTTATAAATGGAATCTATAACGAAAGAATTAATGTGAATAAATACTTAATAACTTTAAATAAAATTGGAATTCATATAATCAAGTTCATATTAAAACTAGCAATAAATAAGATTCTAGCCTATTATCTCAAAACTCACCTCAGAATGTGATAATGGAACTATAATTGCGAGCAAAACGATGATTATAGAGACTGATTTAGGACAAACTAAGTTCATAGTGCATAATATTAGATGATTTACAAAAATGAAAGGTAATGATACTTGATAACTTGCACAAAGCGACAATCCGACGATCGTGGAACCATAAATGCCAAATATTTCGAAAAAAAAACGCCAAATTTATATTTTTAATCCAAAAATGTTGTATAAATACTCTCATACTTACGTAAATAAGTATGCACAAGTGTGCCACATTACAAAGCCTTGTGACTCAGTTCACAGGCGACCAAATAAATAACTAAAGACAAAGTTGAAAATACGTAGTAAAGTTAATACTCAACACATGAATATCTTAAATCTTCTCCTTTTTGTATATAAAGCCATTTCATATGTCCTTAAATACTTGCTATGGTCTGCTTATTCAAAACCACGATTATTTCTTAGTGCTTTAGGATTAACTGGTTTATGGATCGCACTTATTAAAGTAAACCTATATAAGGTTTTCCATTGGTCTTTATAAATCATGTAGTCATTTTTTAACATCATACTTTTAAATTAAATAGCAACAGTTAATGAAATCACCATTAGATCCATTGGTTCATATAACTCCAAATGTATTAGATGAAGTGAAAGAACTATACGTTCCAGGTACGTATGTGGAATTAGTGACTATTATAATATTCAAATTTTAACAAAATCAAGATTTTATTCATATGCAGAAATGCCTATTATGGTCGAAAATGGTTTGGCATGTCGATATCTTGCTATAACAATTAGAAATATGGATCAAATTGATCAAAATCTTCGAAATAAAATTTCGGAATCATTAAATTCATTGGATATTCGTGTAAATGAAGCTACTAAAATATATGCAGATTTTAGACATGAAGCTATAATTTTTTCACGAACAGTTTTTGATAGAATGAATGCAATAGATGAACAATTGGCAAAGAATGAGAAAAGTGAAAAAGCTACTGAAATTATACAAAAACATCTCGATGTAATTAAAAAACGAATTCCTACTTTTAAAGCAGCGTTAACTAAAGCAATTAAAAAAACGTATGAAATTACAACTACAGCAAAGGATGCTCATTTGGTTTTAGATGATGGAAAAACAAGTGCGATACGACATGATAATTCATTATATCAACGACTTTTACGTTTTATTAATAGTGAAGAAGAGATAACTCGTATAAAAGATCAATTAGAAGAAATTGATGAAGTTATCACATATATTAAAGATTTACAAAATGATTTGGAATTTTTTGATAAAATTATTGATGACTACCGTATAAAAAGTCAAGAAGTTGAGGTACAACTTGAAGAGAATATAAATCATGCAGAAATAGATAAAATTTCTTTAAGAGATCTTAAATATAGTGTTGATGATTTGAATATGCCACATTCAAAACTTCCTAATAGAAATAATAAAGATTGTATTAGTTTTAATATAAAGTTTTCTACTGTTACAAAAAAGTTGATAATGATTCGAATTTGGTCATCGAAACGGACAGTTCATTCTTTAGTATTTGTTTTCTCAGATGAGACAAGCCAAGTTGTAGGTACTCCAAATAAAGGCCATCTTACAGATTTTCTATGGGTTGATGGTGAATATATTACGGAGCTATCATATATAAAGGGAAAGTACATTAATGGTATCGAAATTAAAACTAATGGTGGTCGTAGCACAGGATGGCAAGGCTCTCGTAGTGGTCGAAAGGAACGAATTGTTCCAGGATTTTTTAGTAATTGGTTTTCAAGTTGGCAGGGATTATATGGAACTTTTTCAGAAGGAATATGTAGTGTTATGCCACTTTCAGTAAACATATTTTCCTTTTTTTGATGGATAGAAAAAAAAAAGAATATCCTTTATTAAATGATGAATGTAATAAGTGTTGACTATGAGAGTATAACTAGGTTCTCATAGCGATAAACAGTAATCGTATGCGCAGGCGATTTCACATATACGTATGTGTATACATATATCTACAGATGTACCTCAAAGAAAAAAATTCTAATTATCATTTTTATATAAAGTACGTTTTGTAAAAATAAAATAAAATAAAATAAAATAAACCAAAAAATAAATAATATAAATTTTGGTAAAAAAAAAAAAAAAAAAAAAAAAGGCTGGATACCGAATAGATGGTTTTAGCTTTAATATATAAACATCTGTTAATAAGAAGATTACATCACAAGGTGCGAAGAAAAATATGGTTGCCTAAATTATAATGTAAATCCCTGGTACAATATTTGTCCTTTGACAAACGTCTTCTAAGGCATGATTATTAAGTCTAATATATTTTCTGAAAAGTTTATATTAGATTAAGATATAACATCATTATTGTTTTTAGTTTCATAATCTTAAAAATTGTGATTGGAGAAACACGATCTCACCAAGATTATGTAATGGATAACTTGATTTGAAGTCCATATCGCAAATTATACAATGTGCTAATAGTCAAGGAGAGAATTTTAGACCTAATAATAACCTAATCTTAAAAATAAAAATTTTGCGACATTTCAGGTAAAAATCAACAATCCTTATATAACCCTTTATTAATATTTTTGTATTATAAATATATAATATCTATTTAATCTAACAATGATACCTTGATGCGCATAGGGAATATTATTCCTCCTTCTATTATCGAATTCTTCGTCCAAATCGACACACATTCGACAAATATATGAACTTGACAATTTATTAATATGGTTGTGCATAATACATTCAGGATAACTACAAAAGACACTTTATGTGTATTCAAAAGTGGCATATTTGATTTGGGTTCTCTAGCTCCTAAATCAATTGATTGGAAATAAAATTTTAAATAGTCGGGAGTCGAAAACTGATTAAGACATTCTCAAGCTCCTCAATCAATGGTCAAAGTATATCGAAAATATATCGTAGAATGAAGTATAGTATACGTAGATGACGCCTTGATAAAAAGACAATAAATTTTGAATAGGTTTTGCCTATACTAGATACATGCAAAAAACATTATTATTGTTCTAAACATTCCTTATATTTAAAAATTTTATGCATCAGCAGAGTACTTTGTTATTTATTAAAGAAGACTTTAATAGTAACAGTAATAATTAAGCAAATAATGATATAGTAAATATCAAATACAATTTGCATATGGTATTAAAAAAAATGATTATTTTTTTTCGTGATTTATTATCAATCAGTAAAACTTTTACGTAATTATAAATATGTATTTATGTTTATGATTTGTGAATTTGTCTTATTGTTTTTAAATTTCATTGATTAATAAATTTTTTTCATACTTACGAGCTGAATGTAATGATTAATGCAAATGAAAGTATTTTAATATATTGATTAATATTTAAAAGAAATCCGTTTACTATTTTTAATTCTATCTATTAATGAATGTTCTTTATACTCACAAGCTGAATGAAATAATTAATTTGGGCAAAATAATTTGTCGAGTATTAAGTGTGGGAAATAAGTTTTTATATTCATTGCTTGAGGACTTTTATTATTTTTTAATTCTATTGATTAATAGAAGTTCTTTATACTCACCCACTAAATAAATGTGGTTATTTGTAATGGAAAATAAAGATTTACGTTTATGATTTAACTTGTTTTGCTGTTTTTAATTCCGTTGATTATAACGCTTTAAATTACTATAATCCCGTCAATCACAAAGAAATCCGAGTAATATAATTAAATTGTCTAAGAATAAAAACCCTCAAGATTCTTCAATATATTTTGATTCTACAATATTATCTCCAGTAGTAATTAAATTAGTTAGTTTTGCAAAATGATATATATAAAATTTTGTTTTTTCCCTTTTGGTAGAAAATTTGATATTATTTTGCAAAACTAATTACCAATTCAAATGCAGAGATAGTACTGCAAAATCGAAATACATTGAGAAATCTTGAGGATTTTAATTTATTTATAATAATTTTCGGATTTTTTTATGATATACGAGTCACAGTGAAAAGTGCAGTAATAAAAATGCGCTTCATACTCACTCACTGAGTAAATAATTAATGTAAATAAATGATTTGAAGGGTATATGATAGAAATAAATATTATGTTAATAATTTATGAATTTGTTTTGCTACTCACTTTCTAAATGTAATGATTTGAAGAGCATTTCGTAATGAGAATTAATAAGTATTTATATTATCTATGAACGTGCTTTGTTCATTAACTAATAGATGCCTTTTATACTCACCCACTAAATTAATGCGAATGAAATGATCGAAGAGTATTATGTGATAAAAATAAATATTATGTTCATGATTCGCGAATTTTTTTGTTGTTTAGATTCCATTAATTAATAAATGTCTTTATACTCACCGACTAAATAAATGATTTGAATAGTATAACATAATAGGAAATAAATATTATGTTCATGATCTTTGAACTTGCTTGTTGTTTTTTAATTCTATTGATTAAATACTCACAGGCTAAATGCAGATAAATAATTTGAAGGGTATTACATGATGGGAATAAATATTATGCTCATAACTTGTTTTGCTGTTTTTTAATCCCACTGATTAATAAGTCTTATACTCACCGACTGAATAAATGATTACGTAAAGGGAAATAAGTATTTATGTTCATGAACTTGTTTTGCTATTTTTAATTATATCGATTAATAAATACTCTTTATACTCACCAACTAATTAATGTAAATGTAATTGTTTCAATGATGTACGTAATGAGAAATAAATACTTATGTCCATTATTTGTGAATTTGGTTTGCTGTTTTTAATTTCATTGGTTAATAAATGTTCTTTATACTCATCGACTAAATTAATGTAAAAAAAATAAGAATTTGAAGGGCATTACACAATGAAAATAAGTATTTATGACATGGATTTGTAAACTTTTTAATTTCATTGAATAATAAATATTCTTTACTCACTAACTAAATTAATTCGAATAAAATGATTTGAAGAGTATTACGTGATATGATTTGTGAACTTGTTTTGCTGTTTTAATTCCATTGTTTAATAAATTTTCTTTATACTCACCCGCTAAATTAGTGAGTTTAAATGAATGGAAATAAATATTTATGCTCTTTATTTGCGAACTTGTTTTGCTGTCTTTAATTCTATTGATTAATCAACGTTCTTTATACTCACCCACTAAATTAATGAAATTAAATGATTTAGTAATGGAAAATAAGTATTTATGATCTTGATATGCGAACTTTTTAATTTTATTGATTAATTAACGTTCTTTATACTCACTCTCTAAATTAATGAAATTAATGGAAAATAGGTATTTATGATCTTGATATGCGAACTTTTTAATTCTATTTATTAATCAACGTTCTTTATACTCACCCACTAAATTAATGAAATTAAATGATTTACGTAATGGAAAATAAATATTTACGATCTTGATATGCGAACTTTTAATTTTATTGATTAATCAACGTTCTTTTTACTCACCTAAAAATAATTTACGTAATGAAAAGTAAGTATTTATGATCTTGGTATGCGAACTTTTTAATTTTATTGATTAATCAACGTTCTTTATACTCACTCACTAAATTAATGAAATTAAATGATTTACGTAATGGAAATAAGTATTTATGAGAACTTTTAAATTTCTTGATTAATCAACGTTCTTTATACTCACCTAAATTAATGCAACTAAATGATTTACGTAATTAAAAGCAAGTATTTATGATCTTGATATGCGAACTTTTTAATTTTATTGACTAATGAATGTTCTTAATACTCACAAACTAAATTAATGCGAATGAAATAAATTGAAGGGTATTACATAATAGGAAGTAAGTTTATGTTTATGATTTGTGAACTTGTTTAGATATTTTTAATTCTATTGAATATAAATATTTTTTTATACTTACTAACTATATTAATGAGAATAAAACGATTTAAAGGGTATTATGTAAAGTATAAGTATTTATATTCATGATTCGTGAACTTTTTTGCTGTTTTTAATTCTGTTAAGTTAATCAACATTCTTTATACTCACAAGCTGAATGAAATGATTAATGTAATGAAATGATATGTAGTTATCATATAATGATAACGTAAACCTGTTTGCTCTTTCAATTTCATTGATCGATAAATAATATTATACTCACGGACTAGAATAACGAATAATAAATTAAATATTTATAAATTTAAATAGCTGTTATGTAGATTAATAAATATCTAAACAAGTTCACAAATCATAAACATAAACTTACTTCCTATTATGTAATACCCTTCAATTTATTTCATTCGCATTAATTTAGTTTGTGAGTATTAAGAACATTCATTAGTCAATAAAATTAAAAAGTTCGCATATCAAGATCATAAATACTTGCTTTTAATTACGTAAATCATTTAGTTGCATTAATTTAGGTGAGTATAAAGAACGTTGATTAATCAAGAAATTTAAAAGTTCTCATAAATACTTATTTCCATTACGTAAATCATTTAATTTCATTAATTTAGTGAGTGAGTATAAAGAACGTTGATTAATCAATAAAATTAAAAAGTTCGCATACCAAGATCATAAATACTTACTTTTCATTACGTAAATTATTTTTAGGTGAGTAAAAAGAACGTTGATTAATCAATAAAATTAAAAGTTCGCATATCAAGATCGTAAATATTTATTTTCCATTACGTAAATCATTTAATTTCATTAATTTAGTGGGTGAGTATAAAGAACGTTGATTAATAAATAGAATTAAAAAGTTCGCATATCAAGATCATAAATACCTATTTTCCATTAATTTCATTAATTTAGAGAGTGAGTATAAAGAACGTTAATTAATCAATAAAATTAAAAAGTTCGCATATCAAGATCATAAATACTTATTTTCCATTACTAAA